TCTGGTCCTGGCTCCACGCAAACCCCTCACTTCTCCCTAAGGAGGGACCCCGAGCTGGCGTGGGGCAGAGGCAGGCGCTGGCCTGGCGCAGGAGGGTCTGTGCTGGTGGAGGGCTCGGTGCCCCCCGTCAGTGCTTCCAGAGGTGCTAACAGCCTGCCCGCGCTGCAGACATCTCTGTTGGCACGAGAGAAGGTGCCAGTGCCTTTTATTTTCCTTCATGGAGATGTGACGTCCGTGCGCTGGTTTGTAGGGGTCGCCCAGGGCCGGGCAGCTGGTGGTGGGGCTGCAAACCAGGGAGGGGAGCAATTCTGTCTGCCCCTCCTGGATCTTCCTTGTGGTGGCTGGGATCGTCCCCTTTCCCCCTAAAAACTTTATGACCGATGTGCTCAGCTGTTTTTAAATGTGAACTTGTGCACTGATGTGCAGATTCAATGTTCTTGTTACCGAATGAATAAAGTTTTATTTTGAAGATGATGTGGGCGTGTGGCCTCCTGTTTGGGATCGCAGCTGGGAGTGGGGAGTGATCTGTGCTGCTGTCAGAGCACGGTGGGGATCTGGGGTTTACTCACATCCCTTGCCAGAACAGTGCATGGGTCTAGCCTGTCCTAAGTGATAGTCATGCTTCCAGACAAGATTCACTTCCAGACCCTGCTGCAGTTGCAGGGAAGGTGCCAGGAGTCATGTATATAAAACTCTTAGGATGCTGTGGGTGCCCTCACTGAACTGCTGTGGGAAGGGTCCTAGTGGTTTAAGCTCCAGGGGGTAGCTAGACACTGGACCAGACCCACCACAGTTGTCCAAGGAGCTGAGCCAAATCTAAGCGCCCAGTAATCATAGCATGAATGGATGGATCTCTGCGTGGGGAAACAGCCCAGCTCAGGTGAGCTGGTTTTCCTGATGTCCCAGAGTGGCAAGAAGGCATGGTGCAAGGCTATCTGTGGGCTCCTGCTGGTCTCACTGCATGGTAAGTGATACGGAGAGAGTCAGATCTCATGGGATCAGCCTCATCACCCATGCAGGAATCTTCCCATCAGACCAGGGCTGAGTGGGCAGCAGGGTGTGGGGCCAGGGCTGCAGAGCCATTGCTGTGGGGCTGATAGTGTCTCTGGAGTGCCCCATCCCTTCCTGCTCCACCCAGCACCAGCTGGGGGAAGGCTTCCCAGGGCCATTTCTCCACTTGCTGGGGATGTGGCTTGGAGCTGGGACACAGGACACAGAGCTCGCTCCATCCCCAAGGGCAGAGTGAGCCAGGTCCATCCCTGGTGGGACAGAGCCGGCAAGGGTTGCCTCTGCAGC